AGGTTGAGGGATTCCAGGTTGCGCAAACCAAGGGACAGTATTCAGTTCGATCGCAAAGGAGTCAGGAGTGATTCTAGTTGTTTAAGATCATGGATGAAAGGAACAAGTCGATTTTTATCGAACAGTCTAACAGACAAGATTCAAGCCACTGATTTCTGTGTGGAATCATATCACTTAGCACATCTAATCAACAAAAGTCCTTCCTCCATTGGTGGTCAACCAGGAAGTACCAATTGAAGTCAGTGTCATGGACCAAGTCATGGTTTTGCTGCTACATTGCTTCTTCCATTCTTCTCCAGCACGCTTAAAAAACACCCGGAGAGACAGACAATGAAAAGACATACGCACAACACAACCGAGCAGTCCGAAGCGGTTTCGAGTGGTTCCCTCGCGCACAAAATGATTATCACAGCCCAATACATGATAAAGAATCTGAGGTGATTTTCTCAACCAGGTGTGGTAATGTGAACATGTTCAATCGGGTTATCGGGTCCGTCAGAATTGTTTGCCTTTTGATTGAATGATAAATTTTTTGACGAAATCAAAACTTTTTATGGCTTAGTTTATGGTCGTTTTATGCCATCAACTGCGCTATCCACTGTCGAAGAAACCGATAATATTGACAAGGATAACCGACAAAGCGTATTCCAGTTGATTTGATTTGCTAGTAGAATTGTTATCCGCACGATTCGCCGACAAGTCTGCAATTGATTCAAAAATATTCGAATGAATGCAGAGGAGGACAACATCTCTTTTCACACGTACTACACCAATCTAGGCAATCAGTACATGCTAACGATCAATTAGTCCAGTAGGTTTCAATCTTTAACTGTCTGGACTCCATACGTTTCTCAACTGACAAGGTAGAAGTCGAAGGTTGTTGAAACAACTTGAAATGGTACCGGGACAATTTCAATCGTCTATCTTTACCCGGTGGTTATATGACATGTAAACAACATGGCGGAGGTGTTCCCCACGAAAGCGAGAGGACGAAAAATCGACATCCGGGGCTATAACCGGGTTGGTGGACCACTGGTAGTTCACCTAGGAGAGTTGGCCAAAAACTCTGATTCCAAATCTATCATGAGGAGGCGTATGAACCACACACAACTTCCTGTTTGTGGCAGTGGTCACCGGCTCGATAGGGTCCCTTGGACGTTTGACTCTGTCCGAAGGGCGTATGGTTCGATGAATTGGACACTACC